TGGGTTCTGATCCACTTGCCCTTTGCTAATTTAAACATACAGGTATCTAGCTGGTACTATGGTCCATGTAGCTATATCTACTTGGTGAGGTCTGGCCTTCTCTGAAAATAGTTATACTTTGATTTTATCATATTTTATTTTATTTTACCTATTCAATATGGTTCAGTAGACCAAGTACTGAGCTGATAATAAATGTTGAATATCATTACTCATTAGGGAAATTCAAATTAAAACCCCAATAGCATACCACTACACAATCATTAAAATGAATACAATAAAATTTAAAATTCTGACAGAACCAGGTGCTTCTGAGAATGCAGAGCAGCTGCAACTCTTATATGTTGCTGATGGAAATACAAAATGGCATGGCTACTCTGGAAAGCAGTCTGGTAATTTCTTGTAAAGCTTAACAAACACCACATCACTCAATAATCCACTCAATCCAAATATTCTTCAGTTAATAAGTAGATTTAAAAAATGGTGGTACATCCATGCAATGAAGTACCATCCACCAATGAAAAGGAATGCATTATTGACACATGCAACAACATGGATGACTTTCAAATGAATTATCCTAAGTAAAAGAAGTCAGGCTCAAAGGGCTATGCACTATATGATTCCATTTACATGATATTATCACAAAAGGTGAACAATAGAGACAGAAAAGAGATCAATAGTTTTCTATGGCTGGAGGTGAGGAGAATGGTTGGTTACAAAAGGGTATGGGGAACCTTTTTAGGTGCTATGGCTATTCTATGTCTTGATTATAGTGTTCGACATAGCACTATATTTGTTAAAATCACATTGAAATTTACATTAAATTTGAATAAAATTGAACGAAACATTGTAAAAATTTACATTTTACATTTAAAATTATTTAATCTTATTCTATGGAAATTATACTTCTGTAAACCGGACTAGAATATAAAGATTATGTGTCACCCACCAAACACATTTCTCAGAGTTGTATGTATTTTTAATCTTATCTGGGTGCCAAGAATACAGTTTATTTTTTAAATATATTTTTAATTAAAAAATAAAAATTGTATATATTGATCATGTTCAACATGTTTTGAAACATGTATACACTGTGAAATGGCTAAATTGAGCTAATTTATATGCATAATATCTCACATACTTACTTTTAACTGAGTTGATTTTTTTAGACAAATACAGAATGCAAGTCTAATTTCTTCTAGAATTACTAATATAGATTTCACTATTAATTATAGTCAAAAAGTACACTCTGTAAGAGAGCAACAAATATCATTCTCACTGAATGGAAAGAAAGAAAGAAGTGAGTATGTGGATACATTTTACAAAGACATAAAGTTGAAAGACCAAATAAGTAATTGCTTTGATTTGCTTACTGAAGAGGTACTATTATAAAGAAGTAACAAATTTCAAGACAGAAAAAAATATTCAGAACAACTGATAAAGAAAGGGTGAAATGGTGGTAATTAGCAATGAGCAAAGGTCTAAGAATGAGAAGTCAATTTGCTTTATAGAGACAGCAGTGCTAATGTGCTCTCTATACACTAGAAAAGGCAAGTTCTGAAAAGCAGACATCTTACTACTACAGAGAGCAGAATAAATGTAGTTGACATAACAATCCTCAAAATAACATTCAGAAATATTTTGCAGGACTCAATACATAAATTGAAAGAAGCAGTAAATCATATAGTCACACTCAGTCCAATTACAATGAACAAATTTCCTAAATTAGCTGAATAGAAAATTTAACTATATTACAAATCAATGGAAAATGAAACTCACATTTCAGTTTAATTTATACATTTCGGGTATATAGATTACCTCATATAGGTATAGGAATAATTACTCAACATATGAAGAATGATTTAAAATAGCATTCCTAGAAGGAAAAGTGAGTCTTTATAGTTGTAGAGAATGAAAAGTATAAAGTGGGATATAACGTCTTATAATCTATTGATACTCATATGCAGATTTTAAACTCATTTTAAAAACAAAGTGCTGCTTTAAGAAAATACCTACCTTTGCTCTTTCAGTACCATAAAAGCTGTAATTTTATTTTCAATTCCAAAACAAAAAAATATTTCAACAGCTTAAATTTATAGTTAAAAATCTTCTCACACTGGACATTTGAATTTGTGGCACTTAGAGTTCACAGGTTGTCAAATGGACCTGAGTGCCCTGCTGGAGTCATCAGTCTCAAGGTGAAGACTCTGAAGCTGTGGGCTATGGAAGAAGTTAAGCCCTTGAACTACACATGGAAATCTGCCCACTGAATATTGGACTGCCACATGGCTGACTACGGACATTGTATGCCAGTTCTTGGAAGATCAAAGTTACTGGTGCATAATCAAGTTTTGAGCGGAAAATGGAGGGAGGATAGCCAGAACCTCTTGGAGTGCCCACATGAAGAAGTGGGGAGCACAGAAAAAAAAGCATCGAAAGTCTGGCTAAGATTTACCCCTCAGCCAGAACCCTGCAGAAAGGATAGGTAGGAGTGCTTCTCTGTTCCCTTTAACCGCCTGACAGTCTGCTGACTGCTAAACTAATGGGGAGTACCTCTGCCCCTACGACCAACAACAACACTATCCATGTCAGTGTCAGTTAAAGATCTTCCCTCGAACAGAGAACTGGGTGGCCAGATTACACAGCCATGCAACACCCTCTCACATCCCGGTTGAGAGAGTGGACCCATAATAGTTGTGCATCTGTGGCACCACTCTCTTAACTGGAGCTCTACTCTTGAACTATAGTACCACCAGACCTCCCACAGACAATTCCCATATCCCACTTTGACCTTGGCAAGCACAGGGAACTGGTGGATCTCCAATAAGTTGTGTGTTTCCAGGAGAACTAACCCTCAGTACACACCACCCCAAGGAAGTGGAGAAGACAGCCTGTCAAAGCCTCCCCTGAGAAAAAGGAATCACGGGTGCAATGCCAACCCCTGAAGGGGGCATCAGTAAAGGCTGGGAACAGACATGAAGAGGGGGTTATCGTTCACCACTGTCCCCTCCCCTCTGCACTGTTACAGACATGATTCTGGTTATTTCCAATAACCAGGATCATGATGAGTGCACACCGGGCAAGGTTGCTTTCCCCACTTCTCCAATGAGTCTACCCATGCTGAAGTTAAGCACATACTCTGGAGACTGCTTTCTGCACTTCAGTAGCTCCTCCCCAGATGGGGACAAATACGCACTGACAGCCTACAGCCTACCTACTTGTTCCTACATTACCATCTACTGGACTATAGCCTGAATTACACCATCAAACAAAATACATTGCTATGACATACAGCATCTGAAAAAGCAACTGCATGAGCCTATCTGCAACCAAGGAACACATACAGAACCTTAGCCCTCTGAGAGTATCCAGAAATAACACCAATCAAACACAACATACACTATAATCATACCCTCAATGGAAAAATGAATTAAAAATTTTAAAGCCCTATCCAAACAATAGCATATTCAAGAAAAGAAGCATTCCTTTCCTCAGATGAGGATTCAGCATTAGAGCTCTGGCAATACAAAAAGCCATAGTGTTTTGGCTCCCTCACAATGGATCCTAGTCACAATAAAATATCTAAAGTGACACACATAGAATTCAGAATATGAAAGAAAGAAAAGCTCAATGAGAAAGAAAGCAAGAAAGCTCAATGAGATCCAAGAGAAAATCGAAATCCGATATAAAGAAGCCAGAAAAACAATCTAAGATTTGAAAGACAACATAATTATATTAAGAAAAAAACCCCAGAAATTCTGGAGTTCAAAAATTTCCTACAAGAATTTCAAAGTGTAGTTGGAAGTCTTAACAACAGATCCAACTAAGCAGAAGAAATAATTTCAGAGCTTGAAGACTGGTCTTTTAAATTAACCCTGTCAGAAAAAAATAAAAAGAATTAAAATAATAACCAACAGTTTGGGGAAATATGAGACTCTATAAAACGACCAAACCTGTGACTTATTGGCATTCCTGAGAGAGAAGAAGATAAAGTAAGTAACTTGGAAAACAAATTGAGGGTATAATTCAAGAAAATTTCCCCAGTATTGCAAGACACATTGGCATACAGATAACAAAAAAATTCATAAACTCCTGTGAGATACTACATAAGATAACCATCCTCAAGGCATATAGTCATCAAACAATCCAAGGTAAACATGAAAGAATATCTTGACAGTAACTAGAGGAAAGAGTTCAACTATCTACAAAAGGAATTCCATCAAACTAACAGCAGACTTCTCGGCAGAAATCTTACAAGCCAGAAGGGATTGGGGGCCTAGTTTTAGCCTTCTTAAAGAAAAGAAATGCCAGCCAAGAAGTTCATATCCTACTAAACTAAATTTTATAAACAAAGGAGAAGTAAAGTCCTTCCTAGAGAAGCAAACACTGAAGGAATTCATCACCACCAGGCTGATGTAAGAAGAAATGCATCAGGAAGTTCTAAAAATGGAAACAAAGGAACAATACTTGCCACCACAAAAGCATATGTAAATACAAAGCCCACAGACCCTATAAAGCAACTATGTAATCAAAATTGCAAAGCAACTAGCTAACACTATGACAGGGATGAAACCTCATATATCAATATTAACTTTGAATGTTACCCAGGCTAGCACTGCCATAGAGAACCCCCACCCAGGCAGCACTGAAGGAATTACAAAGCAGACACCCAGATAGAAGAACAAAGTGGGACTATCTGAGGGGCCAGCAGCCTTCCAAGCTGAGAGCCTCAGGAGGCTGACAACATTCCAGCATTCCAGGCTGAAGGCCTCAAGCAGACTCTAAACCATGCATTTATTCTCTCTGAATAGGTGATTGTTATTAACAAACAGATTTTCGCTATTTTCTTATAACACAAAATATGCCAAGTAAGCAGCTGGTGCCTGCTTACCATTGATCACAAACTAAAAAGTATTCCCCATGAGGGAGCTATGGGGGCAGTGTCAGATGTCCCACGCTTAAAGAATTGTATGTCCTGCCACTTAAGAATGCCCCAAGTAGTTTTCCACTTGGTTGGGAGGGGGGGGGTGGCTAGGTTTTCCTTGCCATCATTCTTCCTAGCAAACAAAATATTTTATCATACACTCAACATTTCTCAGCAATCATGTACTCAGCATCTCTCAACAGAATGTAGACAGCCTAAATGCTCCACTTAAAAGACAAAGTGGAAATTGAATTAAAAAAACAAGATCCATTCATCTCCTGTCTTCAAGAGACCCATCTCACACGTAAATAACAGCCATAGGCTCAAAGTAAAGGGATGAAGAAAGATCTATGCATGCAACAATAAAAAACAAAAAAGAGCAGGGGTCATTACTCTTATATCAGATAAAACAGACTTTAAACCAAAAACAGTAAGAAAAGACAAAGAAGATTATTACATAATGATAAGGGTTCAGTTCAACAAGAATATTTAACTATCCTAAATATATACACAATTAACATTAGAACACTAGGATTTATAAAAACAATCACTACTATATCTAGTGTAGTAGTGTCTATCTAAGAAAAGAGATAGATGGCCACATAATAATAGTGGGGGTCTGCAACATCCCATTGACAGCATTAGATAATTGAGGCAGAAAACTAACAAAGAAATTCTGCACTTACATTGGACACTTAGTCAATTTGACCTCATAGACATCTACAGAATACTCTACTCAACAACCATAGAATATACATTCTTTCCATCTGCACATGGAACAGACTCTAAGATTGACCATGTGCTCTGTCATAAAACAAGTATTCTTAAATACAAAAAAACTGAAATTATACCAAGCATTTTCTCAGACCACAGTGGCACAAAAATATAAATGATTTTGAATAGGAACTCTTAAAACCATACAAACATATGGAAACTAAACAACTTGCTCCTGAATGACTTTAGGTAAACAATGAAATTAAGATAGAAATCAAAAAAAATTTTGAAACAAATGAAAACAGAGAGAAAACTCACCAAAACCTCAGAGATGTGACAAAGGCAGCATTAAAAGGAAAGTTTATAGCACTAAACACATACATCAAAAAGAGAGTAAACTCCAAAATCAACAACCTAATGTCACACCTAAAAGAACTAGAAAATCAAGAACAAACTAGACCCAAAACTAGTAGAAGAAAAGAAATAACTAAAATTGAGGACAACTAAATGAAATGGAGACAAAATAGACTACTAAGGATCATTAAAACAAAAAATTGTTTTTGAAAGGATAAACAAGATTGATAGACCAATAGCCCAATTAACAAAGAAAGGAGGGAGAAAAGATCCAAATAAGCATAATCAGAAATGACGAAGGTGAATTACAACTGATTCCACTGAAATACAAAAGATCCTCAGAGACTACTATGAACATCTCTATGCACACAAACTAGAAAACCTAAAGAAAATGGATACATTTCTGGAAACATACAACTTCCCAAGACTGAAACAAGAAGAAACACATATACCAAACAGACAAATAATGAGTTATGAAATTGAATTTGTAATTTAAAAAATCTATCAAGCAAAAAGAAAACCCTGAAACAGATGGATTCAAAGCCAAATTCTACCACACATACAAAGAAGAGCTGGCATCAATCCTACTGAAACTGTCCCCAAAAAATCAGGAAGGAAGGATTCCTCTCTAACCCATTAAACAAAACTAGTATCATCCTAAAACCAAAATCTGACAGGGACACATAAAAAAGAAAACTGCAGGCCAATATTTCTGATAAACATAGACACAAAAATACTCAACAAAATAGTAGTAAACTGAATCCAGCAGCACATCACAAAAGTAATTCACCATAATTAAGTGAGCTTTATTCCTGGGACAAAAGGATAGTTCAACATATGCATATTAATAAATGTGATTCATCACATCAATAATTTAAAAAACATATATGATCATCTCAATTGAAGCAGAAAAAGCATTTGATAAAATCCAACATCCCTTCATGATAAAACCACCCAATAAACTAGGCATCAAAGGAATATACCTCAAAATAACAAGAGCATCTTTGATAAACCATGGCCAACATCATACTGAATAGGCAAAAGTTGGAAGCATTCCCCCTAAGAACTGGAAGAACACAGGGATGCCAGCTTTCATCACCCCTTTTCCATATTTTACTTGAAGAGTAAAAGTGATCAGGCAAGAGAAAAAAATTAAAGGTATCCAAAGAGGAAAAAAAAAAAAGTCAAATTATCTTTCTTCACTGCTGAGATCATTCTATTCCTAGAAAACCCTAAAAAAAAAACCTCTGCCAAAATGCTCTTAAAACTGATAAATAACCTCAGTAACATTTCATGATACAAAATAAATGTACAAAAATCAGTAGGATTTATATTCACCAATAGCATTCAAGCTGAGAGTCAAATCAAGAAGACAATCTCATTTACAATAGCCAAAATAAGAAATAAAATACCTCAGGACATATTTAGCCAAAGAAATGAAAGATCTCTACAAGGAGAACTACAAATGCTGCTGAAATAAATCAAAGATGATGCCAAAAATTTAAAAAAAATATTATGCTCATGGGTCAGAAGAATCTATATCATTAAAGGGGCAGATTCAACACTATTCCTATCAAAGTACCAATGTCATTTTTTTTCACAGAAATAGAAATAAAATATTCTAAAATCCTTATGGAACCAAAAAAGAGCCTGAATAGACAAAGCAATCCTAAGCAAAAAGAACAAAGTTGGAGGCATCATATTACCTGTCTCCAAACTATACCACATGGCTGCAATGTCCAAAACAGCATGGTACTGGTACAAAAACAGATACATAGACCAATGGAAGAGAATAGAGAACCCAGAAATAAAGCCACACACCTACAACAAACTGATCTCTAACAAATCCAACAAAAATAAGCAATAGGGAAAAGACTCCCTATTCAATAAATGATGTTGGGACAACTGGTTGGACATTTGCAGGAGAATGAAACTGGAGCCCTATCTATTGCCGCATACAAAAATTAACTAAAGATGCATTAGAGACTTAAATGTAGAACCTCAAACTGTAAAAATCCTAGAAGAAAACCTAGGAAATACCCTTCTCTGTATCTGCCTTCACAAATAATTTATGGCTAATTCCTCAAAAGCAACTGCAACACAAATTTACTAAGAGGGACCTAGTTAAACTAAAGAGCTTCTGCACAGGAAGAAAAACTATCAAGGGATTAAACAGACAACCTATAGAACGAGAGATAATATTCAAAAACTATGCATCTGACAAAGGTCTAATATCCATAATCTATAAGGAATTTAAACAAACCAATAAGCAAAAAAACAAATAAACCCATTAAAAAGTGGGCAAAGGACCTGAACAAATATTTTCTCAAAAAAATACATATACGTGGCCAAAAAAAAAACATATAAAAAAGTGCTCATCATCACTAATTATCAGAGAAATACAAATTAAAACCACAATGAGATACTATCTCCAAGCAGTAAGAGTGGGCTGTGTTAAAAAGCAAGCAAGCAAACAAACAAACAGACAATAACAACAGCAAAAAACAGATATTGGCAAGGCTGCAGAGAAAACAGACACATACATGGCTGGTGGGAAGGCAAGTTAGTCTAGCCATTGTGGTGAACAGTTTAGAGATTCCTCAAAGAACTAAGAGTTGAACTACCATTACTGGGTATATACTCCCAAAAAAAGAAATTATTTTCTACCAAAAAGATACATGTACTCATGTGTTCACTGCAGCAGTATTCACAATAGCAAAAACATAGAGTCAACCCAGGTGCCTATCATTGGTGGATTGGATAAAGAAAATGTGGTGCATATACACTATGAAACACTATGCAGCTATACAAAAGAACAAGATCAAGTTCTTTGCCGCAACATGGATGCAGGTAGGGGCTGTTTTCCTAAGCAAATTAACACAGGAACAGAAAACCAAATACCACATATTCTTACTTATAAGTTGGAGCTAAACATGGGGTACACATAGACAAAAAGATGGGAACAATAGACACTGGGGACTACTAGGTTGGGGAGAGAAGTGGAGATGATTACTGAACAACCACCTGTTGGTTACTATGCTCACTATCTGGGTGATAGGTTTGATCATACTCCAAATCTCAGCATCATGCAATACCTTGGTAACAAACCTGCACATGTACTCCCTGATTCTAAGATCAAACTTAAAAAAAATACATTTCTAAGATGTGTGCATAGCCTTCCTTAGATTTTAAGGTATTATGAATCAAGAAAAGTTAAGAACCATTATTCTAAAATAAATACAAGTACATACTTTTAACTTGGTGAATGCTAAATGCTGTCACCTCAGTGGAGATAACTTTTAGCTGATTAACTGGTTTTAACTTTTTAAATTTTTTTTTAAATAAAAATTATGAGTATAAGACAAATACTTATTACCATGCATTTGAACACTGAAAAATACAGTGTGTTTCTGTCATACAGCCTTCCTTCCCAGACCTTAATCAGGCATTATTGTTAAACATAAAGCAAAAACACACTACACAAAAATCAAGAACATCCACATTGGGATATATATTTTCCAGGTAATGAAAAATACATATCTGTATTTCAAACTTTTCATTTTGAAATAATTATAGATTCACAAGCGGTGCCAAAAAAAAAAGGATAGGTAGATCTCACGTATTCTTCACCCAGCTTCTTGCTTAAATATAGTACAATATCTAAACCAGAAAATTGACATTGGTACAGTCCACAGAGCTTACTTAAATTTCATCATTTTGCATATATATTTATATGTGTGTAATTTCTATGCAATTTTATCATGTGTTTAGATTTGTATAACTACTACCATACACAGAAGTGTTCCATCACCACAAGGCTCCTTCATGGTATCCTTTTATGGCACACCACCCACCACCATCTCTAATTCCCAGTAGCCACCAATCTGTTCTCCATCTTTATAATTTTGTTATATCAAGAAAATTTTATAAATGGCATTACACAGTACGTAATCTTCTGAGATGGGCTTTTTTTCCCCTTGAGATACAACCAATTTGTTGTATCAATACTTTTTTTCTTTTTGTTGCTACACAGTAGTCCATGGCATGAATACACAACCATAACATTAACCTGTGGAAGAATACCTGAGTTGTTTCTAATTTATGGCTGTTACCAAAAAAAAAAAAAAAAAAATTACTATGAACATTCATGTTAATGTATATGTATGTTATATAGAGAGAATTAGATAGATAGATAGATAGATAGATATAGATACACACACAAAGTCTTACATGTGAATGTTCATATCAGATTCATTCATAATAGTGAAAAACTCAATAAAAACCTAATATCCATCAACTAGATTATAGATGCACAGTAGTGGCATATCCATATCCATATGATAAAGTATTATTCAGTGATTAAAAGGAGCTACTGATGCCTGCAATCTCTTGGATGAATCTCAAAGCACTCTACTAAAGAAGGAGAGACAGAAACAAATGAGTACCTACTTCCAGGATAGGCCCATATGCTATGTCATATAGTTTGGATATTTGTCCCTGCCCAAATCTCATGTTGAAATGTAATCCTCAATCTTAAAGGTGGGACCTGGTGGGAAGTAACTGGATCATGGGGGCAGATCCCTCATAGATGGCTTGGGTCATCCCCTTGGTGATAAGTGAGCTCTCGCTCTGAGTACACATGAGATCTGGTCATTTAAAAATGTGTGGCACTTCTCCATTCCACACACATTCTCTCTTACTTTTGCTCCTGCCATGTGAGATGGCTGCTCCCCCATCACCTTCTACCATGATTGTAAGTTTCCTAAGGCCTCCCTAGAAGCAGATGCTAGTGTTATGCTTCTGTACAGCCTGAAGAACCAGAAGGCAACTAAACCTATTTTCTTATAAATTACCCAGTCTCAGATACTTCTTTATAACAATGTGAAAATGGCCTAATACACCACACAACAACTTCAATAAATGTTTTAAAATAAAAGTATCACTAATATATTCTCCAACCACAATGAAACAAAACTAGAGATTGATAGCAGAAAAAGTCCCTAATGTTGTGGAAGTTAAATAACACACTCCTAAATAACCCATGGACCAAAGAAAAAACCAAAAGGAAAAACATAAAATTCTTTGAAATAAATTAAAATGAAAACACAACATATCAACACTAGTAGAATACTGCTAATACACTGCTTAGAGGAAAATTCATAGTTACAATTCCTACATTAGGAAAGAAGAACTCAAATCAATAACCCAACCTTCTATTTTATGATGCTCGAAAAAGAAGAGCAAGCTAAACATAAAGCAAGCAGAAAAAAGGAAATAACAAAGATTAGGGTAGAAACACAGAATAGAAAAGTAATAGAGAAGACCTATAGAGACAAAAAATGTTTCTTTGACAAGGTCAACCAAAATGACAAACTTTTAGTTAGATTGACCATGATAAAAAGAGAGGAGATTCAAATCCCCAGAATCAGAAATAAAAGAAGGAACACAAACTTACAGAAATATAAATAATTATAAAGGAATTACATGAACAATTGTAAGGCAAAAATTGGACAATTTAGATGAAATGGACAAATATCTACAAAGACACAAACTATCAAAACTGATTTAAAGAGAAGTAAGTCATTTTACTAGACCTATAACAAACAGGAAGGTTGAATTAGTAATCAAAAGACTACCCACAAAGAAAAGACCAGCCTCAGATTATTTCACTGTTGACTTCTACCAAATATTCAAAGAATAATAATTCTTCACAAACTCTTTTAAAAAATTAAAGAGGGGCGAACACATTTCAAATTATTTTATGAAGCCAGTATTACCCTGATGCCAGAAACAGACAAGACATCACAAGAAAAGAAAACAATAGTATTTTTTTTTTTTTTTTTTTTTGAGATGGAGTCTCCCTCTGTTGCCCAGGCTGAAGTGTGAGGGTGTGACCTCAGCTCACTGCAACCTTTGCCTCCCGGGTTCATGTGATTCTCCTGCCTCAGCCTCCCGATTAGCTGGGATCACAGGCACCCACCACCACGCCCAGCTAATTTTTGGATTTTTAGTAGAGACGGGGTTTCACCATGTTAGCCAGGCTGCTCTTGAACTCCTGACCTCAAATGATGCACCCACCTCAGCCTCGAAAGTGTTGGAATTACTGCATGAGCCACCGCGCCAGGCCTAGACCAATATCTTTTATAAGCATGGATGTAAAACCTTTAACACAACACTAGTGAACTGAACCCAACAATATATAAAAAGAATTATATATCAAAATTAAATGAAGTTCATTCTAAGAATTCAAGTTGGTTTAATATCAGAAAATCAATATAATACATATATTCAATAGAACTTTAAAAAATTACATGATCATCTCAGTAATGCAGAAAAAGCATTCAATACGATCCAAAACCCTTTTATGATTAAACACACACACACACTCTCTCTCTCAAAAATCTAGGGATAGACAGGAATTTCCTCAGCTAGATAAAGGGCATCTATAAAATACCCACAACAAACATGCTTGATGGTACAAAACTAAATACTTCTTCCTAAGAGCAAGAACAAGACAAAGGTATCCTTTTTCACTCCTATTCAACATTGTGCTGAAGGTACTAGTAAGGACAACTAGGCAAAAAAGAAAGAAAGAGAGAGAGAAGGAAAGAGAGAAAGAGGAAGAAAGGTGGGGAGGGAGGGAGGGAGGGGGAGGAAAAATAAAAAACAGAAGCCATCTGGAGTGGAAAGGAAGAAGTTAAAGCAATCTATATTTGCAGAAGAGATGATCTTGTGTGTAGAAAATCTTAAGATATCCATTTTTTAAAAATTTAGATCTAATAAATGAGTTCAGCATGGTTGTAGGATACAAGACCAATATGTAACAATCAGTGTAGTTCTGTGTAATTCCAAATAACTCACTGAAAATGAAATTAAGAAAACAATTTCACTTACAATAGCATCAAAAATACTTAGAAATCAATTTGAAAACACAGTGCAAAACTTATACTCTGAAAACTAAAAAATTATCAAAAGAAATTAAATAAGATCAAATAGTTGAAAAAACATTCCATGTTCTTAGATGGGAAGATGTAACATTGTTAAGATGGCAATACTTACCAAGCTAATCAACAGATTTAACTAACTTCTCATCAAAACCTCAGCTGACTTTGTAGAAATTGGAAAGCTTATTCTAAATTCATATGGAATTGAACAGGAAAGAGAATAGCCAAAACAATCTTAAAAAAGAACAAAGTTGGAGGACACACACAATTCCCAATTTCAATCCTTACTACAAAGCAACAGTAATGAAGACAGTGTGGTACTGGCAGAAGGACAAACACGTAGATTTATGGAATAGAATTGAGAGTCCGGAAATAAATCCTGGACTCTCTAGTTAACTGTTTTTAGACAAAGATGCCAAGACCATTCAATATGGAAAGAATAGTCTTTAAAACAAATGGTGCTGA